TGGTCTTTGAATCTCTTGACCCACAAAGCTATAGACAATTAGATAAAATATTGTGTAAAATATATTGTAATTATAATTATAATTATGCCTATCATTTTACCTAATAGGTACATAATTTTGTTTTCATTTTATTTTAAGTTTAAAAAACATAGGTACCTACCTAATTCAACTTTAAACTAATTATTAGAATTTTAATAAGAATAGTTGTGCAACTTACTTTTTTCCAGTTATTAAATCCTATAATAGTAAATGTTTCTTCCGTTTGACGAGCAGTTCCAAAAATACGACATGGAAAACAAAACACGCTATCTTTTTTAATACTATATTCGAGCCAATTAAACTCACTAAAGTGAGAAGGTGTAAATCCTCGATTTTGACTTCCAAATTTTGTCTTAGGATACTCCTTTTTAAACAATTTTGAAAATCATATTTATAATATTAATATATAATATAGAAGTTGTAATTAAAAGTCTACTTACCTTTAATATTGGCTGACGTGGTCCTGAACTTAAATTACCCAAATCAAGTTCATCATCTATAGGCACATCATTTAAATCGTTTTCTTCATAGTTTTTATCTGCAATTATACTTTCAGTATTTATTGCAGACGAAGGCTTAGGCGAATGTTCCAACACATTTAGTAGATCGTTAGAGTTTTTTTGTTTATTAAAAATACTAAACATTTTCTTTAACGAATTTAAATGTATATACTAATATAAATAATATAAGTATTATACTAGGTACACAATTATATAATAGATCACACGATATTACGAGGTACGGTACGTTACGTGCCTATGTGAAACACTGAAAAGTTCAAAAATGAAATGACTGAAACGGTTAGATTGAAATGTGAACTGGACAACATTTAACTGGGTCTGTGTGCCGACTATGCCGGTGCCCGGTGATCACTAATCACTAATCAGTACAATATTAGTATAAATATGATACACGAACAAACCAGTATAATATTCATTAGGAGCTATTTAAAAATGTTTTTGGTTTTCCCAATTATTAGCGATTGGCCTACGTCTACGTGACTTATCAGACCTCACCGTCACCATAGT